AGAAGATTAGGGTAATGTGTTTTTTATGTTTAATATATTTTTTTTTAATGTTAAAATAAAAACAAAAAATTTGGTAAATTGATAAGGTTAAAAATGGAATTTTATGTAGCTAAAATATTAGATATCTAATTTTGTTTTACCTTATGGTAGATAATGAATTATGTCTTAAGAGACTAATATAAGACCTAATTTCTCTAGAATCAAATGGTGAGTTACATATACATATGCAATGGCTGGGATCTTTCCTATTTGACACCTATTTTCATATTAGTCAAAAGGATTAAGTACATTTTCAGTGAGAGCAATTGTTGCCTTTAATCCCTCAACCCTTGAGTATTTTTCTGAAGCTGTGTAGCAGTAAACAATGACTAATACATCGATTATAGTGTCCGTAAAAATTATAAGGAGAGATTTCTTGCTCAATTTTAAGTTACGAACACAAACAATGAACTAAGAATATGATTGAAAATGCTTACGTTTCTAAACTATGAATCTGGTTGAAAAGGATGAAGAGAGAGCGATGCTTCTGAAAACTGTTCAAGTTTGGTTGAGATGAACTTTTTGGGTTAGACATGTGGCATGTATGCAAGTGAAACTTCCATACACAAATACGTTGTGTACATCCATCCTTATAAATTATATCCATCGAGAAAGAAAGTGAAAGTATATACATACATGAATATGGTGATCGATTTGTCGTCAATATGTAGAAACTTGGAGATTATTGCTAAATCCACCCTTGCTTCATCATCTATAAGCGCAGCCTTAGGTCTCTTGGAGAGGCAAGACCTTTTGAACCCAATAAAATTGTTTACAATGTGATTAAGAGAGAGTAAGGACATGGAAGAAAGGATATGGAGAGAGATGGATTTTTAATTTCATTCCTTTCTAGAGTAAACCCATAGGATAAGAGAGGGAGATGAAGCACATCGAATGTATCAGTCATGATTAGTTCTTTGAAATTTATAAAAAAAAAAATCCTTTTCTGCTCGGGAATTGGTGTAAGATTGAACATAGGAAGTAAAGAGGAAGCGTGTGTCGATTATGTTATTGAAATCCTTTTTCCAATTAATTTCTTTTCTCCAAAGATGATGTGTCATGGAGGGGAGAGCTTAGGTGGAAAACCATTGTGAGGGAAGTCATCTATTATATATATGATTCATATTAGACTTGGGCCTTTTCTCACTTACGGCTAGATCCAATAATTTTTCAAAAACTTGTGGTACTCTTTTTTTTCTAATCGTTTCTACGTTCCTTAATTTGATCAAGTTTTTTCCTTCATTCTAGTGTTTTTCATATCTTTGTAGATGCTCTTCCCTTGTACAGTCTTGAACCAGCCTGAATCATCAAATCAAACGATCACAATGTCTTAATTTTTTTGCTATTTCAAAACCATAGAAAAAAAGAAGAATAAACAAATCTTAGCCAAGAAGGTCATGGATTTTCGACGTTGGAACATCTCCTTGCCTATTCCCTCTAATATGTTTACGTTAAAAAGCACTCAAGGGATTTCTCCAAGTAGGTAAGAACTTAGTATCGTCCAAAACATTATCCCTCAAAACTTGTACCATCCATGCTTGTCTATGTACGTAGTGGAATCTCGAGTTTGCGAAAAACGTTTCCAACAATGGAATTGTCCATAAATCTCCACAAACTCAAGATTCTACTTCATGGAGAAGTCTATTTGGTCCAAATTTGTCAAGGATAATGCTTTGGGGGATAATCAATTTCTTACCTTCACTTAAGAAAGATGAACATATATGTCTCCGACAATGAGATTAGATAAACCAAGAATGAAATATATGTTCTAGTGAAAGCATAACTATTTTTAACACATCCATCAAGTATTTGAGGCCAAGTTTCAGACGAGAGGACAAAACATATCACCACCAAACTAACTCCATCACACACAAACCCAAGGTATTGAAAAAGAGACGAACCAAGGATGAAAAACTAAAGCATAGATCCTCACATTTAAACAGAGAAGCATCAAATATATTATTCTTGAAATCACAAAAAAAAAAGAAGCAAACGTACAAATCATATATATGAAAGAAAAAGGAACCCTCTCCATCTATGCGACAAGTGGTGGCTTTTATGATTGACACGTTTCTACCAAAAAATTATCTTTTGCACTTCTCAAACGTAACCCCTTAATAGCCTTTACGACCATTTACTCTGTAGAGCTTAGATGTCAATTTCACGTTCTCTTGTTGTCTATACAGCTTCCGTTGGAATTAACGATGATAAAATATTAATCCAAAATTTCGGCTGAACCTTCTCTTCAAAAAATTCCCCTCGCCAGATGCTGCAGCTTCGAAGGCCACCCTGGAGATTTTGCGCCAAATTTGGTTTGTCCGACGAAGATGGTTCTAAACTTTGTCAAGGAGAACAACGGCGAAAAATAGTGTTGTGTTCGTACCAGTTGCAATTGATTTGACAAGAGTGGCATAGAGAACTCTCATGAAAAATTTGAATGGAATCGCTACTCTGATGATAAAAAAATGTTCTCCCCGGTGAAGCCTGAGAAATCTGCCACATATCATTAATAAAGTTTTCTCGACTCTAGGTTTGTTCGATTAAGGTTAATCAAATACTTGATATATGGAGATTATATTCGTAGTGTATGGTCCTTTGTACGAGTGTTTGTGACAGAAATTTGTTGGCCGTTGTGACAAGTAAGAATGCAGTGGTAAAAACAAATCATGCTTGAGAAGTGTGGCTAATTGTTTGGTTTACAATATGATGCTACGTTATGTAAATCTCGTTGGGAAAAATCAACTTCATCTTGAGCTGGTATTATCTAGAAATCTCTCTTCTGTTATAACTCGATTTCTTGGTTCTGTTATATAAGCCATTTTTANACCTCCTGGTTGAAAGAATCTTAACGTGTCATGGATTTGTACAATGGTTGTTTAAGAAATGAAACAGAGGATATGAGTACTCTTGATTTACATTGATTTCAATTCAAAAATCTTTCGGTTCAAAATAAAGATGACGTTGTTTCAATTTTGATGGACACACAAATCTTTTTACAGTTGATAGATCTTAGAAACAATAAACAAATTT